TCTTCACGAAGATGAGGTTCTCAGAGGCCATGAAATTGCCTTGGGATGTGTGGGCGAGACCGCGGGAGAAGTCACCGTGTGCCCACAGCCCGCTGGCTCTGCCGCACATCCCAGGTGCTTTAAGACCAACCTCCATGGTGTCTCAGGGCATCCCTGACGTTGATAAAATGATCGCCTTTTATAGATAAGTCAGCACAATGGTTACCCCAGGCAGATGTGGCTCCAGCTCCCACGGAGCTTATTATGGTCCAGCCAGGCACCCCCGGGGCTGCCCCAGCTGGTCAGGCAAACCCACGTCCTCCTGCCTCTCAGCACGGCCCCGTGGAGCCCACCTCTGCACAGGCTCTCTGCCCCGACCCAGGCGTGGCCACCCCCTGGCTCCACCTGCTCCAGATGGGTATGAAGCAACGCGTGACATTACAAACCCCAGGACCCCGCACTTGCCTTGCCAGGCTCTCCTGTGCACCGCTGCAGCCTCGTCCTCCAGTCGCTCTGCACAAAGCCTGCACAGGCTCCCAGTGTCCACGGAACAGCCCCCCTTTTCTTCAGCTTGCTGCCTTTTGGGATCTGGCCTTTGGCTCCGTTTAGTCTTTCCCCCATAACACACTATGAGCTTTTGCCACCGTGAACTATACTTGACACTTCCGTTCCCTTCCTCCACGGGCCTGCCTCAGAGAACGCAATCTCCCGCTCAGCCACTGCGTCCCCCAGCCCTGCCCATTCATGTCCCAGGTCAATAGACCCCTTCCCCGCAAGGACGCCTCAGATTCGCCCCCAGGCGAGCACAGCCTCCGATTCACATAGCGTGTCATATTTCCGCCACACAAGACTTAAAACAAGGCCTTTGGAATCACACACAGCTGAGTTTGAATCCCGACTTTGTCAAATACCGGTTGTGAATCCCATGTAGGTTCCTTACCTGTAAAATGGGGGCGACAGCCTCAGCCTGGAATCCTTGATGAACGTCCTACGGTTAGCTGTGTAAGTCACAGGTGTCTGACGCTGGCGGGAAGCACCCATTCCCTTCCAGGTCCCTTCCCGTCCTCCCCCACCTCCACTCCCCGTGCCTGTCTTCAGCCCTGGCATACGGGTTCCTGAAGACCTCTCGGGCTAAGCGTGCACACCTGAGGGTGGGGCGGGGCTCTTCCTGGGAGAGACAGACATCTCTGAGAACCATCACCTGGGAAAGACACCAGGTGTCAGGCAGGAGGTGGGACTTAAGGGACATCCTCAGCCAGGCAGGGGAGCGCATGCTGTCATTCCGTGCTCACTCTGGACTTCCTTCTAGATGTCCAGACCTACCTAAGGGTCTTCCTGAGCCGCAGGGCTGCTGGCCTCTGCCAGGTGGGGCCAGGCAGGGAGACCCGCATCCGCCCCACGAGCGGCAGATGAGGAAGCTCTACCTCGTAGCCACAAAAGTCAGCTTTTATGAGCCCCTCCGTGGTTGCTTTGCCCCCGTAAGCCTTTGTCAAGTCCGCCTTCCCTGCCCCAGCCTGGGCTCAGCTGTGGGGCGGGTGGACGTGCCAGCAGCAGGGAGGGCCTGCAGTGTGTGAGCCAGCTGCTCTCACGACATGCTGGCTCAAGCACTGTGCCTTCCAGACGCCCCATAGAAAGACCGGACAAGCCGGATGCACTGATGCCCTAGGAGAGCCTGACAGTGCCTCGCCCTGCCATCCACCCGCTGGTTGCTTGTCACTGTGCTTGGAACAAACCAAAGGTGCGCCCTGTGCTGCCCTGGGAGCAGAGTGACCAGGGACAGTGCCAGCGGCCGTCTCTGACCCTCAGGGAGCCTTCGGGCCTTTGTCAGGGCAATGCAGGGCCAGATGGTCAGTGTCCATGTGACGGATTCCATCGGGTGGGGTCCTTGACTCCAGGGCCCACTTGACCTGGGGCTGGGACAGGATCACCAACCACTGGGAAACCACAAAGCTCATGTCTGGTTGTGGGGAACAGAGAGGGCCTCAGGGTACAATGTAAACCATAAATAATTACAAGTAATTGTGACAAAGGCCGCTACTTGACTCTCCTGACGTGTCAGAGCCTTTGAGGCGAATGCAGCCCATGTGACTGGCCCTGTGTGACCGGCCCTGTGGTCAGACGCTGGCGCCAAGAGCTTTACTGAGTTATTTATTCTTCGCAGCCCTGAGGGGGTCTAGCTTCACTTAACAGATAAGGAACCGGGACTCGGCCAGCTAAGCCGGATGCCCAGGGCCTGCAGCTCAGACACGCTGTCTACAGAGCAGTGAGCCCACGCCTGGGTCCCCAGTGAGAAGTGCCACCACGCCATCCCTGGTGTGAGTGTATGTCCCACAGAAGCCCCTGGCCACCTCCCGCACAGAGCCTGGGGGCCGAAGGCCTGTGCTGGGGCCAGAGCTCGGCTTCTAGCCTGCACTGTGCTGCTCGTTGAGGTCCCCGTCCCTTACCTTCTCTGAGCCCGTTTCCTCGTCTGTAAAAGGAACAGATAACAGTACCAACTTTATTGGACTCTTCTGAAGAATCCAGCAGTTAGGAAGGTACAGTGAGTAGGACAGCAAGGAGCCCATCAGCGTGGTCAGGGAGTACTTGGAAAGGGGGGCCATTCAAGGTCCGTGAGCTATGCTGAAGCCTCTCATTCCTTTCCTCTGAAAACAACCTCTGTGTGGCCTCAGGTGGGTTGAGCTTACGTCCCATCCCAGAGATGACGCCACGCGGGGCGGCATCGCCGACTCTGACACCCCAGGTGTCTGGGTTCTCGCTCACTCTGAGATACCTGCACGACGGAGAACTCCAACCACGAGATCTGACACCCCAGGTGTCTGGGTTCTCGCTCACTCCGGTGAGATACCTGCACGACGGAGAACTCCAACCACGACACCCAGAGAAGCACCCAGGAAGCGATATTCCTGTGGCTTTGGAAGGACGCAGCCTCCGCCGAGGGCCGGCTCGCTGGGCTTCCCTCGGCACCCCCAGGGCAGTGGCGAGGGCGCCACAGCTTGCGCCCAGCTGTCTGAGGCCCGAGGGCTCTGGCCGTCCTCCCAGTCCCCCTGCCACGTCTGTGGACGGGAGGGCAGGGCCGGCACGGTGGGACTGAGGGAGGTGGCAGTGGGCCCTGCTGCACTCAGGGGGGACAGGAGCACCCTGATCTCAGGACCTCCAGGGGCAGGAGGATCAGTGGGGCAGGGCAGGGGGGATTTGGTCTCCAGAGGTTCCCCCCGTGACCGAGAGACCAGGGAGAATGCTTCAGCTCGGTACTGACGCCTGTCAGAGCTTTCCTAGCACGTGGTTCCGGCACCCACCCCACCCCCTTCCAGAACCCGGTCCAGCGGCAGGACCCTCTGTGGCACCTCCAACAAAGTGGCTTCGCGGTTGGGCCCCTTCCGGACAACCGTGGGGGACCCTGGGCGGCAGGAAGAGGAAGAAAAGAAGTCTTTTCCTCCCGTAGTTTCGATGCAAAAACCAACGTGGCTAAGGGGCTTGGGGGACCCGCCCAGCTGGTGGACGCGAGTAGATGAGGCCCCGAGATGGGCCGCTCAGCGGGAAGCTCCCTTTCCCACCCGCCCTGACCCCTCGCTCGTCCTTCGAAGCTCAGCCGCACCAGGGCCCACGCCTCCAGAGGCACAGTCTGAGCCAGGGGTAGACTCCCCTCGGAGTGGACACGGCTGATGCCCAGGCCCCCTCACAGCCTCCCCAAAGGGCTTTTGCCCTTGCCCAGGATCGGTGATGCTCCTCTGAGCCAGGTGGCCCAGAAGATGGCCTCTGGTGGAAAAAGGGCCCTTTTCACTGCCCGCCCAGCCTGGGCCCAGGCAGCTCAGTGCACACTGCCTGGTGACAGTGGCTTCTGGGGACTGCCCACCCAGTGTTCAGTGTGGAGGGACGAATCAACCCGCAGCATCTGTGGTAAACTGGGATAACCCCGGTAACCTCAGCTCGTGACTCACACATTCACCGTCAGTGCTGGGACTGTCACGGCATCAGGGCTGACAAGCATAGAGGTGACGTGGGCATGGGCTGTGGGCTGGGTTTGGATCCTGTCTTACTCGTCATGTGATCTTCAGGACGGTCAGCTTTCTAAGCCTCCGTTCCTCCAGCTGCAAATGGCATCATAATCCTGGGCTCAGGGGGACCTACGGGAGCACCCAAGCTGGCTCAGGGAAGGGTGCCTGGTGCCAGTCAACACACACCTGTCCCCTGTCACCCCCTCCCCCTGGAGAAGGGCTCTCGCCAGAAGCTGCCAGGCTCAGCATCCTGTGCCTCCAGGAGGAGCAGCCAGTCCTCAGAATAGCAGAGGGAGGCTGGGGGCTGGGAGCGGGCGGGGAGCCAGGGAGGGCGACAGAATTCTTGTGCTGCACAAGGGGACCTGTGCCGGGTCCGAGGCACAGACGGGGCGGCAGCGCCTACGATTACCTAGCACGGGCGCCCCGGAATAAAGGACGAGCCGAAGGGAGGCGATGACCTGGAGATTTTATAGAGTCTCGGGGTGGGGGGTCGATGGGAGTGTGAGAGGCGCCTGTGCAAGGCATAAAGGAGCAGGCTCCCCGGAGGGGGTGCTTTGCGATCGGGACCCCTCCAGCCACAGCCCCACAGGGGTGTCGGAAGTGGGCGCAAACCCCTGGGCGGGGCCCCGACCCCCTGGCTCTCACTGCGGAAAAGCAGGTTCATCTCCATTTCTTTTTTCAAAACAAAACTAAAAGTCAGCGCTCCAAGTACGCGGGCAGAGCAGAGCGCTCAGTCACAGTTAACAGCTTCATGTCAGCGGCAGCCAGAGCCTCGCTGAGTGGCGGCCGAGGCGAGGGCCGGCCTCGCTGCCCCGGGGT